CATAAATTTATCATGCCTTCCACCAATGGCTTCCTAATGTGTAGTATGGGAATTTGGGCCCTTCATAATTGAGCCTGAATTTCCCAAAGCTGTTGTAACAAATTGCCATAAATGGTGACAAGTGACCACAGCAGAAATTTATTCTTTCATAGTTCTTCTGGAGACCAGAAATCCAGAATGAAGGTGTTCATAGATTGGTGCCTTCTGCAGGGATGAGTCTGTTCCACGTCTCTCCCCTGGTTTCTGGTGGTTGCTGGCAAGCCCAGGTGCTCCTGGGTTGTAAACTCATCTCTCCAGTCTCCATTTCTTCACATGGCTTCTCCCCTGTGTCTCAGTCTTCACATAGCCTTGCAAGGACATTATGCCCAGTCCTAATTTATATGACCTCATCTTAACAAATCACATCTGCAGAGGTCCTTTCTCCAAATGATATGCTTTCTGGAGTTCCAGGTGGACGTGAGTTTATAGAGGATACCGTTCAGCCCAGTGCATCCTTCCAGCCACGGCTCTTTCTCCTTCCTCACTCATGGGCTTGCTCATTCACTCTGATACCACACATGGGTGAGAATTTGCAGACAGACAAGGACAAAATGCTTTGAAGTGGAAGAAAGTGGATTACCACGGGGACACAGAGGAGATGAAATTAGATCTGAGTCTCAAACTAGTAAGGTTTGGTTGGGTTTGGTTTGGTTTCATTTGGTTTCATTTGGTTTTTACAGTACTGGGGATTGAACACAAGGCCTTTGCCATGAGCTACATCCCCACCTTTTTATTTTTTAATTCTGAGACAAAGTCTCTCTTAGTTACTGAGGCTGGGCTTGGACTTGTGACTCTCCTGCCTCACTCTCCCAGCATGCTGGGATCACAGGTGTGCACAACCGTATCTGACTTGTTTTGTTTGTTTTTATTTTTATTACCTCCTTGCACTTTGGGAAACAGTTCAGATGTTATTTCTTGCTTACAGCCTTTGTGAATCTCCTCTTCAGTGAATGATTCTATTTCCTCTGTGCTCAATACTTAAACATACTCTATGACCATTACATCCATGTTTTGATTAGTTGTTAGGCCTTTGTTATCCTGGTGAGGGTTATGTACTTAGCTTGTGGGGCCCATACATTCAGCCTGCTGCCTGTTGCTAAGCATGTGCCCAGCAAGAAATTTACCCACCTGCTGGGACCAGGAAGGTAGCTCAGTGGCACAGTGTTGCCTGGCAAGTGGGAGGCCCTGAGTTCAATTCCCTGTACCTAAATTAATTAATTAATTAATTAATTAACCCACCTACATTTAATTCCATAAAACAAGATCACATACATTTGAGGGAGCTGTACAGTCCTGCTTGGATGATTCTCTGCCTTAGATGAGGTAGAAGGAACTTGACCATGGAAGGGGGCTTGTACCGGATATCCTACCTGGGCTGTGGAAGGGGGGTTGTATTAGTCTCCTTCCACCTAGAGGTTCTGGGTTCTCACTACAGCTCCTTCTAGAAGGCAAATAGGCTGAAAATTGTGGTTAGAAAAAATTGCTTGGCTCCATGTGGCTTTGAAAAGTCTCACCATCTTTGGAAGAGGTCAGTGCTAATGGGGACATCATACAGAATAATGCCGTCATGGCCCTGAGAGACGCTGAGCATCTCACACTTAATGTGGAGTAGATGGAGCTTAGGGAGCAAAGCCAGTGTTGTCCAGCAGGTGCACTCAGAGTGCTGCAGCACGTCTCTGTTTCTTACATGAACAAAACAAGTGTAAGAATTGTCATTAAAAGCTTTTGGGATTTGTATTTCAGTCGAATTGATTTTATTACTGAAAGCAGTCTTAGTTTTGATGCAGGGAGGAAGTTTAACTCTGGGTTAACTAAGAAATGGCATGGTCAACTAAAATGCCTATAGAGGTAACCAAGGTATGAGGATATTTTAGGGGAAAAGAAACACTCAATACCGAATAGCTTAAAGAATTCCTGGGATAAAGGGGTATCAATATGTATTTGAGATATACTCATTGCATTATTCATTATACTATGAAACTTTAAAGATAACTTGATTTTGAATTGTTGGAGAATATTTAGGATATTTGATAAGATTGCATTGTGGGTTTTAGATGCCACACAATTATGGGAAACCTCTAACGTGAAATAATATTAGATTGAGAAAGCAAAATGTAAAAGATATATAATATTTGTTCAAAGCAAATAAAAAAGTGAGAAAGAAATATACTACAGTGATGAGTTTAGGTGATATAATTGTAGCTATTTTGCTTTTTTAGTTTTAAAATGTGTATAATGCATTGATATTTCTGTAAACTTAGTTCTTAAAAAGTATAATACCCACATAATTACAGTGACATTTTTGTAACATTCAAAAAAAAACTAATAGCTTTAAACATTTGTTTTTATAATTACAATGAGCTGTACTGAACTATTTATTGGCACTATCTATTGCATTGCTTGGACATGTTAGGAAACTTTCCACAGACCATGAACAGTCACTTTTTAATTTAGGGGAACAGTTTGAGGTAAAAAGTTGTCATTCAAATAGCTTTGAAATAAAAATGATTATAAAAATATTTCACAAGTCTAAGTTAGAAATAATTTCACCCCCGTGGTTTCCAGAGGAAATGCCTGGCGCTCTTGGTTATGGAAGCAGTACAAGCTTCATCAGGCAGCTCCATTTTTACGTAAAGGACAACTGTCAGAGTTGGTAGGGATTGAAGAACCTGGCTTCTTCTTGTATTCAACTATGAATTATATATCGAGAATTCAGCTAATCACAGCCTGCTGTGTGCGTCATTGCAAGTATCAGCTCTCTGCAAATTGGGTTAATAATTTTGTGAAGCCCCATCCGATGCAAGGACCCCAAAGTAAAGCTGTATTGATGGGAGAGACAGCTTTATAGGGTTTCAGGGTCATTTTAGTTTATTTTTCTCTTCCCTCTGGGGCAGGGATTCCTAATGTGGATCCTAACAGTGTCAGGAATCTATGAACTGGGATAGGAAAATAGATGACAGCTTTTTCATTTACTTTTTACTAAAATTTAACATTAAAATAATTATATATGGCCAACAATCCATAGTGGCATTGTCACCCACATAACTTGCAGTCTTAGAATATTGTTTATGCTTCACTACTTCAAGATTAAGATTAGACCATCAGTAGCTCCTCTCTAATGTATTAATGTGGAACCTCATCTAAAGTTGTTTTTTAATATTTCAGTAACTTTTACAGAAAGTCCCCAGCTTATGAATGGATTCCATTCTGGAAGAACATTCATAAGTCAGATATGTTCATATCTGACAAAGTGAGTCTTATATAGTACACCTGTGAAGTGTGCAACTTGAATGTGCAAACAAGGAGAAAGACTGAGGAATTTTCCCAAAACTAGGGCACCAGGGAGACATAAGACAACTAACTGCAGTAGGTACTCAGACTGGGTCCTAGAACAGAAGGAAGACAACATGAAAAAACTGGTAAAATTCAGATAAAAATCTGGAGTTTAGTTCACAGTGTGTCAGTGTCAATTTCTCAGTCTAGATATGTATGCCAGGGAATGCCAGGTACTCACAGCAGTGGAGCCAGATGAATGCAGGTTTCATGGGAGTGGTCTGCAGTTACAGTGAGAACCATAGTGTGGGCTCTACTGCCCACTCCCAGAGATGTTGTGGGTGAGAGTTTTGTGTCAACTCAAGGCCATCATGTCTCTTCCAGTAACTACTCCAAGGAACTGTAGAGATAGGCTGATCCAGATGTAAAAGAGAAGTGTGACAGAGATGTGGAGTAATGCAGAGTGTATTGGGATGGAAAGGCATTGCTCTGGGGTCAGAGAGAGCAGGGTCATATTCTGACACTGTCTCTTACCGCCTTTGAGATCTGGGAACCAAAACTGCTCTGAGGTTCCTCTTCCCTTTTGCAGAATGGAATCATCCACACAGGCCTTGCTAGGGCTGTTATGAATACTAATGGTAATGTGCCCACCTTAGGTAGCCCTTTTGTTGGTTTCGCCTAGTATGTTTTAGTGTCAGGTACCATACTAAGCATTATTCATAAAGGATCTGATTTAATTTTCATGACCATTTCATACCTGCAGAGCTGAGCTTACGTGGAGGTCAGTGCTGGTTGTAGTTGGAGGTCTTCCTCAGCACCCAGAATGGGTCCACCCACCTAGTGGACGAATTCCAAGTTGCCCTTCACTCTCGTTGACTTCCACATCCTTTCTTGCCTGCTTCATGTGTACACCAGTTCCAGTGCCCTTTTCATGACTCTGCTGCCCCTTGTGGTTGGCTTCCCTGGACTTCAGATTCTTCAGCTGTGAGGTCTGTTCAGCACTAACGGTCCTTTCACATTCTGTGAATTTTTTATGCTTATTCCAATTGTCTTATTGGGATAATTACTGAATCACTGAAGCCAAAATGTTTTCTAATTTCTTTTGGGTGGTTAGGTGTTTCTTTGGCATTTCTTCAGATTCAAGAGAGAAAAAAATATCAGAGCTTTAAGCCTTAGTTGCCTCTTAAAACCATAATAATTTTTTAGGGCCGGGGATTTAGCTCAGTGGTTTTGCTGCCTGCTGCGCAAGCACAAGGACCCGAGTTCGATCCCCGGTACAAAAAATAATAATAATAATAATAATTTTTTTTAAAAAGCTGAGGCCATCATGACATATACTTATTTCTTAATTGGAATTTTGTTCAGAGATTTTTCTACAGGACACATGAATGATCTTATGTTTTCTTCTTTGATTAGGAAGGAAATACTGTGTCACCACATAGTTATCAATTACTTCAAATTAATGTATATTGGATTTCAAAAGGCAGTTGCCAGGGCTTGCTTAGTTACCTGGGCAGGAGCATTTAGCCATAAATAGTAGTTATTGAGTAAAGAGCCCAATTTCCACAAATGACATGGGCACGTACATTTGTCTCAAAATGACAAGAAATGAGTGCAACCTTTAGCAGCGTTAGGTTACTACAGTATGGGGAAGAGGCCTATTAACATTATGATTTGCTCTTTTTCAGTTTTTCCCCTACATCCTGTTGCTATTTGCCATCCTCCTGTACCTGCCATCCCTCTTCTGGCGTTTAGCAGCTGCTCCTCATATTTGCTCAGACTTGAAGTTTATCATGGAAGAACTTGACAAAGCTTACAACCGCGCAATTAAGGCTGCAAAGAGTGCCTGTGACCTTGACCTGAGAGATGGTGCCTACGCAGTTCCAAGTGTTAATGAGAATACAGCACAAAGGTAACTTATCCCTCAGTAGGTAGCTGGACAGCTTTTATAGTTCAGTTTCTCTGCCTTTTCTTCAGCCAGTCGAGGACTAGAGTTTCTATTGCTAGTAGATGGGAGAAGGACATCATCCGCCTAGTGACAGTCTGTGGGAGCCAAGAACATCTGATCTCCCCAAAACTCACCCCATCCCTCTCTCTCCAGCACCTGTCCTTCTATCAAGACATCTTTCCTTGTTGCATGAGGTTTCACCGCCTCATCATCTGAAATGCAGTTCCTCTAGGGATGACAGGTTAAGGTGTTTTGGTTTGATGTCTCCTTCATTAACAGAAAAGCACAGGATTTTGAAGCAACCAAGCTTAGAGAAAGTATGCAAATTGAATGGGAAATGAGTAATTAGTACCGTGCCTTTTCACATTCTTCCTCTGGTTCTTGTTATTGACAGTAATAACAATGTTAATTGCTATCATTTTTAAATACTTAATATTTCCCAGATACTGTGTCGAGTTACTTGAATATATTATTTCATTTGATTCTAGAACATTATTAACTATGTATATTTATTTACCTCCCCCTTCCCTTTTTCTCCACCTAAAAACTTTCTAGAGCTGGGGGTTTGCTCAGTGGTGCTACTGCCTGCCTTGCAAGTGCAAGGTCCTGAGTTTGATCCCTGGTGCCAAAAAAAAAAACCTTTCTAGTAGCTATAAGAGAGAGAACTGGGACCTGCACCATGTTAGTGCAGCCTTCCCCAAACCCATGAGTGTCCCAGCACTCCCCCGTAGAAGGCATATGTCTTCCATTTGGGCTGAAAATTTCTTTATCTCATGCTGCATACTTAAGTGGAAAATTGTAGTTTAAAAAAAGCAACAGTTTGTATTTAGGAATTGATATATTCATTTAACAAACATTTAGCACTATGAGCCAGGCATTGTTCTAAGGATTTCTAAATAGTAACTTATTAAATTCACTTTATTTTTTATTTTTTTAGAGACATGGTCTCAGTAGGCAGTTCAGGCTAGCCTTAACTCACTCTGTAGCCCAGGCTGGCCTTGAACTCACAATGATCCTCCTGCCCTAGCTTCCCAAGTGCTGGTATTACAGGCATGCACCATCACATCTGGCTTAATTTACTTTAAACTATAAAGGGAAAATTATTTTATTACTGCTTTTCTTCTTTTTTATAAACCTAATTTTATTCCCTAGTACTCCAATGAAGTTATAGGTAGAGGAGTATAGGTGTTGGAAATTTTCAGTGTGATATTGTTGGATATGTTAATGTCTTTAATATTTGATGGACTTTGTAATGGTCTAAATTATTTTTGTTTCCTTCTCTTTTAAGTTTGTGGGAGATATCTGAAAGCCACTTCAAGTACCCAATTGTAGAGCAATACTTGAAGACAAAGAAAAACTCCAATAATTTAATCATCAAGTACATTAGCTGCCGGCTGGTGACACTCACCATCATACTGTTAGCATGTATCTACCTGGGCTATTACTTTAGCCTCTCCTCACTCTCAGACGAATTTATCTGCAGCATCAAATCAGGGATCCTGAAAAACGACAGCACTGTCCCTGATCAGTTCCAGTGCAAACTCATTGCTGTTGGCATCTTCCAGTTGCTCAGCTTCATTAACCTCATGGTGTATGTTCTGCTGACTCCTGTGGTTATCTACACGCTGTTTGTTCCATTCCGACAGAAGACAGATGTTCTCAAGGTCTATGAAATCCTGCCTACTTTTGATGTTCTGCATTTCAAGTCTGAAGGATACAATGACTTGAGCCTCTACAACCTTTTCTTGGAAGAGAATATAAGTGAACTCAAGTCATACAAGTGTCTTAAGGTACTGGAGAATATTAAAAGCAATGGTCAGGGAATTGATCCATTGCTGCTCCTGACTAACCTTGGCATGATCAAAATGGATGTAATTGATGGCAAAACTCCCATGTCGGCAGTGGCCAAGGGAGAGGAGCAGGAGAACCGAATGGCAGAGCTCAAAGGTAGGGTTAGCTCTCAACAGAGGCTACAGAAGCCCCCAGAGGGCTTTGCATGAATACTGACCATCATGACCTTACCTAGCAGTTGAGCCATTGTCATAGCATGGTCCTAGGTGGACACCCAAGGCAGGGAGAGAGGGGGGTACGGCATTAAATTTCTGAAGAAGGAAAACTATTTTCTGGTTGTTCTGTCTTCCTTCTGTCACATTCTACTTCTCTCATACTGTGCCTCTTGCTTCAACAGTCCTTCTAGGTGTCTTTCTTGCTTATATTTTATCTTACTGGCTTTTCTATCTGTACTGCTTGTTGTCTTGTCTGTTGTTCTCCAACTTTTCTCATTTAAAAGGGACTGAGGGCTGGAGATTTAGCTCAGTGGTTCCCCCACCTGCCTTGCAAGCGCAAGGACCCAAGTTTGATCCCTGGTGCCAATAAATAAATGCATACATACATACATACATACATAAAAAAAAAATGGGACTGAGAATTTATCGATTTAATTGCTGCCTTCACCTGACTTCACTATGCTTTGAAGTTAGGCTAATAGTAAAGCAAAGTATATGAGAAGGATATTTAGCAGAATAGACGTCGATTAGTAATGATAGTTTCTGCTACGCCTCTTACATAAATATTTTCAATTTTGACAGATTTGGACATAAACAGTGAAACTAAAGCAAACAATGAAGACAAGAATGCTCGACAGAGACTTCTGAATTCTTCTTGCTGATGATTTTGTTTTTGGGCTTCAAACCTCTGGCTTCCGTGACACAGGATTCTTTTTGACTAAAGCACGCCATTGGATTCACAGTTGGTTTGCAGTAAATGGTTTTTGGTAGTGATAGAGAGCAGGTCTTATTCAGTCCCTAATGAACATAATGGTCTACAAAATGCTATGAAGGGATGGTTTTATTAACTCCCTACAAGAAACACATGGAGATAAGTAAAATGTAGCAAGTATATATGTAGAAGTCCACATCGATGAAAAGTGAAAGGACTCGATTTTCAAAGAGCGGTGAAGAGCCTTTTAGTGCCTCACAGAAGCGTCTTACTGTGCCCACCTGTGATGTGACCTAGAGCTTGTAGAGAGCAAGTATTTCAGGAGATTTTTTTAATTTTGTGAAATAATAAACATATTAGGATATAATTTAATATGAATCTCTTGTGCCCTTCCTGACTATTGGATAGTAAGGCTCTTCAGAGTCAGAGGTTGGCCTGCACTTGGCGCAGGGTCTTAACTCGGTGCCATCCTGGTGCTTTAGCTCTCATACACTCGGGCTCTCCTTACTCTCTTAGCACTTTGGCTAATTTCAGTCTACTAACCATTATTTGTGGCACTCTGCCTTGAAGGGCAGCAGGCCTGAGGACTGCTCTGATTGAAAACTTAATTAACAAGATATAATCTAAAGGATATTCAGTTCATACTACAGTGACTTCAATGGAAGAAAGAGAGCTTCAAAAAAGAGCCCTGTGGGAAATCAAAATCTGAATTTACAGAAATTAATTCAGTCACTTTCAGAGAGATTGTCTCCAGGGTGTTATCAAGGCAAATGAATCAAGACTTTGCTTAAACACATTAACAACACAGCAAGGTTTACAGTGAGGAACACTTTGCCTAAAATGAACTGAGCACATAAGTGACACTTGCCATGTGCTTGGAGCCAGAACAGCTTAGCATTGTTTATATTTAAGTGCAGCTTTAAAAAATGTTTTTTAATTTATACAATGTCAGAACTGAGGTCATTTGGGAAGAACATTCTAGTATTGATGGAGAATTATAAAATAATGCTAAAAATGGATGGATAAGATAAACATAAGCATTATTTCACAGTCCTTTAAGGCTAATGAGAATATGTTAAAAACTGTTTCCAGTTCTGACCATGTAAATATATCCTTATGTTCACATTTTATACAAAAAATTCTTAACTAACCTGTGAACCATTCAGTTTTTATTCTTAAAAAGGTCACGCATTGCTTAAGTGAACAATTCTCAGGAACCTCGAAGTTTACTTTTGATCTTTAGGGAGAATTGTTTACCTAGTGTAACTTTGTGTGTGTGTGTGTGTGTGAAGAACAGAAGTTATATACGCTGCTGGCTGCCTTTCAGAATATATAGAAAAGCAGATTTTATTTGTATTTTATTTTGTGACAATTTCTGAGGCTGAAAGCTAATGATAAATAGCAAAGATGTAATCAGCTTTAAATTATTCTCTTTTACATGATATTTATTACTGTTGAAGTATTGTGCGACAGAAATGGTGGTAACTTGAATAATTGATTTCATTACATTTTTATATCATTGTATCTGAGATGTTCTGTCACAACTCTTTTTTTTTTTTTTTTTTGAAAATTTGAAGTTTTAAAGTACATTTTTCTAGGATATGATTTTTTTTCCAAAAAGCTTCATCCTCCCTGTAGGCTACCCTAATTTGTACTTTGAAGTGATAAAAGTGGGTATTTTATTTGAGGAGACCAAGAACTCTGTAAGCCCTACCACATATAATTCTATCAGTGTTTGTATACTTAGGGTCCTTGGCTTCTGCTTTGGTTCATTTTCTTTCCCATTCCTTCTGGGAGCTCCAGTTGGGCCCAAGCTTCCCACTGGGCACTGGCCTTATAGATGTGAAATAGGAAAGTCCAATATTTGAGGACCACAGAGTCCAGTAAGAGGCAGTAGAGATATCCACAGTACTAAGAGGAGAAAGTAACCAAGATAAAGGCCCTGCCAGAAAACTAGCAAATGCTCTGTTCTTGGGAGATGCCATGTTATTTCTTGTCTCCCACCTAGCTTTCATAGCTGCTGGTTTTGAGAATCTAATTATAATTTTTCGTAGAGACAGATAACCCTCTTAAGGTTCTTTAGCCACAGATCCTGTAGGTTGAAGTTTACACAAAACAGTAACACAGTGATTTTGAACAGTAAATGGGCTCAGTTGCCTTGTGTCCCTTCCCTTGCAGGGGCCAGGGAGAACAAGCCTGTGGGGACCTGGAGCTACTGATGAATAACATTTGTGACTCCAAAAGGCTGGTGTGGATATCTGGTGATGCATTCTGGCCTGGAAAGTTAATTTTCCATTCCAAGTTGTTGACTTGGAGGACTACTCGAGATCCAGTTTCCGAGGGCAAGAAGAGTGCTTTTATAAGCACTAAGTACTTTATAAAGGGCATACATAGGATGTAAGTGACCACTGCAGGGTCACTAACTTTGTTTTTGGCTCAGTTCTCCCTCGTGAGAAGACTGCTGAACCAGACTGTGGCAGTTAAGAGTGGAACAAATATTCTGAAAGCAGTGTTCCAGCACACCTTTAATTTTACCACAGATCAGACAGAAGCCTCCAGCATAGAGATTCTTGAACTTTGGGCAGTTATAAGCCCCCTTATAAATATTTTTAAAGCTATGGACTGGTATCCTCAGGAAACACACCATTTTAAATATTCTCCAGCAGTGATTACAGCCCATGTGTAATGGGGCTGAGATTTATTCTACTAGCCAAAGAGAATGGGGCTGCTTCTGTCCATGAGAAAATCTATGAGAAAGTCATGAATGAATTTCCTTCGTTTTCTAGAATCAGACTGAAGAAGATCAATAATAGGATGGGAAGCAGTGGGCTGGGAATGGCCAAGCTCCCAATGTTGACCGCTGTTTCTCCCTGGCTAACACCTTTTATCATAGTCTCCATTGAAATAATTATTCAGAGTAAATCAAAAGTCAGTTTTTATCCATTGCTCCATTACCAGTTTCTAAAACAGTCACCAACATGCACTAGGCTATAAATATTTGAGTGAATGAACAAATGATGTTAGGATAAATCCTAGTTTGTTGGCAACTATAATTTAATTTTAAAAGGCACATAGTCCCCTGCAGGAAAGAAGAGAGAGGGGACGCTCATTTAGCCTCTTGGTAGAGAGAGGAGTATTTTGGCAAATGAATAGTTTTCCACTGTAAGTGGTAAGGGTCCTGAGCTTTTTATTGTGGGGTGAGTCATGACTATTTTTCAAGTTCAGTGCAAGTTCAACGTTGTCTTGTGGTTTAAAAAAAAATGAAGTTTTAAAGGTCTTGGTCTCTTAATTCCCCAGAATAAACCTCTTGAACGGACATGTGAATTGAAATGTGCAATTACCAGTAATTGAGATTTTATCTGAGGGCATTGAGATGAAATGGCTCTTTTAGGGTACTCTTTGGCATTTTGCCCCACCACTTTTTTTGCAAGTACAGTGAAACCTTTTTTTTTAAAAAAAAGATGCTATTGACACAGATGCTATTATGCTATTAATGCTATTAATTTATGATTGGTTTTCCTGCATGCTTTAAATTAAATGTATTGCTTTGGTGAGTGAGTCCCCTTTTTAAAAGCTGTGAAAATACTTTGTTACTAAAGCATGTAGTTTGGTCAGTAATTGTTCTTCAAGTTCTTGGGAGTTGTCCAAGTTTTTCATATCTTGGGGTGTTTTTTTCTCTGCTCACCAGAGAAGAAAAATCCTTATAGGATTCTACAGTGTTACAAGCATTCCCTACAAACCCTGAAATAATCAGCTCCTCCTTAACAGTCTGCCTTCTTAAAGTACCATAATTAGAATTTGACAATATTCAGTAGAGTGGCTTTCTCTGTGTAAGTAAATTCTTTTTAGTGACTAAATTTCTTCAAAACTTTTGAAGAAAAATATGTGTTATTTTTGCTGTGCCATTTTGTGAGAATCCTGCCAATAGATGAAGAAAGACTTTAAAAATTAAGATTATCTTGGATTTTATTGCACGGTTATCTGAAGATGAGCACAAATGATGGTGTTAAGAAATGACCCTTTCAAGAACACGAAAGTTTTGGTAGTTTTCACTATTATATTTCATGCTTCCATGTGAGTCATCTGTCCATGCTCTGCATTCTGAGCCTTCACGCTTCCATTTAAAGTAAGATGAAAGGCTCAAAGTTAAGGCTGCTGTGTCTATAGAAAATGTTTTAGTTCTACATTGTGGTGTCCACCTAAATAAAACTTCTCTGGGTAATAATGTGTTAGTATTTTTTCCTTTCCCTTTATAAAAGTCATTTCACAGCAGATATAACAAGAGATGAATCCTAAAATGTCTGGAGGCTAATTCCTCACTGCTGGATGAATAAAATTTAGTAGGCTCTTTGGTACTTGATAAAATCCAGCTAGCAATAACTAAACGAAGATAGTCCTTGATTAAAGGTCCATATACTTTGGGATTTCTAAGGCAGATTCTTTCTGAGAGTTGCTTCCCTGAGCTTAGGAAGGAAGGGATAGAGACATGGATGTCATGCCCGCTTTGCACAGTGCCTAATTAATGTAATTTACTGTTGTGGGATATAAACCAGGGCCATGCAAAATCTTAGTACAGTTCCTAGCATATACTAAATACTCCATAAATGCTATTTTCAGTTATCACTATCTCCTCCCTGGTTGTTTCCTAGGGTGGTGTCGCTGTTATCCATGGAGACCTTGGGTATTATGTTTATTTTCTATTGCCCCATAGCAAGCTACTGCAAATTTAGCAGCCAAAAGCAACACAAATTGCCTTGCAGTTTTTTTGTGTCAGGACTTTGGACACAGCCTAGGGACAAGTCCTCTGTTCAAGATGTGAGCAGCATGTGTTCTCATTTGGAGGCTCAACTGTGAAAACTGCTGCTGCTAAGCTGTCTTGGGTTATTGGCAGAATTTATTTTTTATTCAAGATCAACTGATTTCAGACCTTAATATTCCATCTGAAGAATATCTGTACCCTTGCCATATTTAGTGGACTAGAAGCAAGTCAGGTCCTTTCCACATTCAAAGGGAGAAGATTGTGTAGGGCAAGAATATCACAGGAGTTGGGCCACTTTAGGTCCATCTGCCACAGAAGTTATCCCGAATCCCAAACTGTTGGAGACCAGATCCTTTACCTCCTCAACATTCTTCTCAGGCCTCTCTGTATTCCTAGTACTATCTTCTAGGCCCTTGTCTCTTCTTTCCTGAATTTCTCATAACAGTCTCATTGTGTCTAACCCATCTTCCACATTTCTGTCACTGAACTTTTACAAGGCAAATTTATTTTTGTTTTTGTTTTTGTTTGGTACCAGGGATTGATAGATTACAAATTTGTTATTGCCAACCCTCTGCCACCCTCTTTATCACCACTTTTAAATCCCTCAGGACTGGACTTCAGGATAAATAACAAACTTGTAGTTTAGACCATACCATGCCCTCCCTACTGTCTACCCCTTGAGGATCATAGTTCACCACCCTCCCTCCTGTCTCTAATACAGTCACATTCACTATTCCTTAAAGGCTTCTGCTTCTCAGGCACTCTTTGGTGTCCCCACTTTCTCCTACCTTCCATTCAAAGTCAACTCCAGCATTCCCTGCAGGACATCCTCATGCCCTCCCCATCCATTTGACCATATTTAGATGTCCCTCTTTTGCCTGTTATTACACATTGCCTCAGTGCTTGGCACTTGTGGTATTGCAGTGGCCTTCATGTCTGTACCTCCTGTCAGCCTGGGAGGCTCTTCCTCATCTCTGTTTTCCCAGCACACCCCAATGCTCAGACACTAAAGGATTTCTTACACCAGTGGTGATGAACCTATGCCGTGCGTGCTGCAGGCAGCTATTACTGAAAGCTCCAAAAAGTTTCCCATCACTGCAAACCCTAATCCCAATGAACAGTGCTGAAAATGCTCAGTGTACAGGAGTATCATATCAGATGTAAACTTTCCCCTGGGTCAATTGTCCATTTTCACCACACTCTCTTTTGCCCAATACAGAGTGGCCATGTCCCTCATCCTCTAATTCCTTCTCATTTGAGGAATTGAGTGCTTACCTGGGACCTTTTTGAAATACTGCTGAGTAACTTTCCCTCACAGTGGTTTTTCCCAACTACATCCACATTAATTTAAACCCAAGTAGCCAGTCTCACTTTATTGTCTAAAGGCTCTAACATACACCACCTTTTTTTGAGTGCAGTTGGATATGTCACCAGATGGGATCTGAGGAGGTCCCTTAAAGAAGGGATAAGGACCTCAACTCACCCTACCTGTGAGGTAGATTGTAGATTCACTGACTTCTATCATAGAGATAGAATTTTCAGGATACATAATGAGAGGTACAAAATGTAGTGGCTGCCCATTTGGAACAGGTTAAAACTCTTGTTATAGTTTATATTTAGATGTTTTCCAAAGCCTCATGGACTCATAGGTAGGGCTTTTAAAAGGTGATTGAATCCTAGGATGTTACAGCTAAATGAGATGCTAGGAGATGGAAAGAGGCAGATTACTCGGGGAGTGACCTGGTAGAGGTATCTCCCTCCCTTATTCCTCCTTTTGCACTCCACTTCCTGGCCATTGTGACATAGGTGCTTTGCTATGTCCCTTTGCCACATTGTTCTGCCTTGGAGCCAATGGACTATGGACTGAAAGTGTAAGCCAAGATAAATTTGAACTCTTTATTTGTGAGAATATATTGAGTATTCTGTCCCAGTGGTAAAGAAAGTGATTAAGGTAGATTTGGGTACCAGGAGTGGAGTCATTGCTGTAACTGTGATTCAGAGGACTTTGGAACTAGCTTGTGGGAGGAGTCTGGAAAGATTTAATGGGAGATTCTAGTCAGAACTCAAGACCAGAAAGGTGATGAAAAGATAGTAAAGATCAAGCCCAGGAGGTTGCAGTTGGGAACAAGGGCTCCATTGGCAGCTGGACTCCAGGCTCTGGCAGAAAATTTGTCTACATTTTGCTCATGTTCTGAGACTACAGGAAACTTAGATTAAAGGTGTGAGACCCAATTTAGCAATTTAGCAATACCAGCACCATGTTGAGAACATTCTCCCACATTTTGCAAGTATGTGACTTCCAGCTGCACTCTGTCTCCTGGGAGAAAACCCCACCCCTAACCAATGCATGTAACTGAAAGGTAAAATAAACAGAAACTGTGTTTCAGGTGATCTGCAACAAACCGTTACCTAGGGGAACGGGAAAAACTAACTGTGCTTATCCTGGCTTCTGTAACCAGCTTCTGCAACAATCTGTAACCCAGGGGAATGGGAGGAGGGACATTTTCTGTGGTTTTTCCCTTTAAATATGCAGTCCTCATTTCAGTAGGTGCCTTTGTCCTCCAACTTGGTTGGAGTGTACATGGGTCCCGGCCGGAAAATAAAGTTCTCCAGTAAGATCCTAGGACTGTGTTGTGCTTTGAGAGTTTGTCACTAATCTAATTTGGGGACGAGGTCCAACAAAAGGTGGTGGACTAATTAATCTGATGGAGGAAATTTCTAAGCAGCCCAATGTTCAGGCTGTAGCATGAATGCTGCTTGCTGCTTTTAGCCAGGTTTATACTGAGAATCAAGACCAAAAAGTCCATTTGGGAAGTTTTCAGTTTTGCCAGAAAGGAAGCTCCAGTAAAGTTAGAGCCTGTAAACTTAATTGGTGAAAAGATTAACATTACAAAGAAGTCAAGTTCTTTACATCAAGGCAGTAGGAAAGATGCCTAGGAAGCATTTGAGGAATCAGCGAGACTCCACCCTTCACATCCTCAGAGGTCCAACAGTGAAAGACTTAGTTTTGAGAAGAGAGCCCCAGGGATCTCCACTGAAGAAGGACTACACCAAGAGAATTGGTTCCCCGGAATTCAGTTCTCAGTACTCAGCCAACCAGTCCTCAGGCCTGGCTTGAGGTGGCAGCAGACCTTGGCATTATCCACATGTTACTGGTTTAAAGACATGCAGAATACAAGAGTTGTGGGGCCAGGGAAGCTTCCACCCAGATTTCAGAACAAGGCCTAGGACACCAGGCAATGCCCTTAAAAGGGCAGTGAGTGATGGTGTGAGAGTAAAGCCAAAAGCTCAGTGAAGATGCCAGGAAGTTTAAAAAGCCAGGAACATGGAATGTCTGGTGAGGAAGACCACAGGCAGTGAGCAAAATCAGTCCAAGGAAGAAGCCATGAGGAATACAACCACCAGCAATACTGCAGGGGTGGAGTTGCTCAAGCCATTTGGTGCTCATATCTTTACCTTGGGTGCTGGATACAGAGAGCCATGGATTTTGTTTGCCCTGTTGGATTTTGGTCTTCCTTTGGTCTAATTTCTTTCTATTCACCTATTCCTCCCTTTTGCAGTGGAAATGTTTATCTTGTGCCATTGCACATTAGAAGTATTTTGTTTTCTTTTTTATTTTTGCAGGCCTCACAGCTAAGAATTTGCCTTGAGTTTCAGAGGAGACTTTGGACTTAGGCTTTTCAACAATATTAAGACTTGGTGACTCTTAGAGATGGACTAAATGCATTTTCTTTAATGAGATGTGCATGATTCTTGGGCCAGGAGCTGAATGTTATGATTTATATTTAGATGTCCCTCAAAGGTTCATGCACTTATAGGTGGGGCTTTTGAAAGATAATTGAATTATGGGAGTGCTGTACCTAAAGGTGATCTTAGGAAGTGGGGCCTGTTTGGAATAGGTAAGTCACTAGAAAAGTGATTTAGTAGGGTATTGTAGTGGATTTTGCTGGGAGTAACCAGAAAAACTCACAGGAGACAGAGGAGCAGGGGTAAAACAAAATTTATTTGCTACCAGGCCAGCCACGTAGAAATATGCCTTCAAGGGCTGACCCCAGGTTACATTGGAGGCTTACATTTATACTCTAGACAGGGTCTAGACATGTGATGTACAGAAAGCTTAGGGTCTATGTGCACTTTTGCTTGTGAAGCATGGTGATTGTTATCCTTAGTTCGGACAACTGGCCTAATTCAAGTGGGGTTTGGGGTTAAGTAAGGTTGCAGGCATTTCTTAATCTTGAGCTAGTCCTACATGCAGGCATTTCCTTATCTTGAGCTAGTGCTACGTGCCTGGAAGCTTATGGTAATGGCAAAATTTCTGATATTGGTATTTTGAGAAACGAAGCAAGTTACAGAAGCAGAACGAATCAAGCAGTCATTTTATATTATTTTAAACTTTCCTTAACAGTATATCTTCCTCTCTTATTCCTCCCTTCACATTCTGTTTCCTGGTTGTCCACTGTTCC